ACTGAGGCACAGTACTCGACACAGACAGCACCGTGCAAACCACCTCCCCGAGGACTGAGGCACAGTACTCGACACAGACAGCACCGTGCAAACCATCCCCCCAGGACTGAGGCACAGTACTAAACCATCCCCCCGAGGACTGAAGCACAGTACTCAACACAGACAGCATGGTGCAAACCACCTCCCCGAGGACTGAGGCACAGTACTCGACACAGACAGCACGGTGCAAACCACCTCCCCGAGGACTGAGGCACAGTACTAAACCATCCCCCCGAGGACTGAGGCACAGTACTAAACCATCCCCCCGAGGACTGAGGCACAGTACTCGACACAGACAGCATGGTGCAAACCACCTCCCCGAGGACTGAGGCACAGTACTAAACCATCCCCCCGAGGACTGAGGCACAGTACTCGACACAGACAGTACCGTGCAAACCACCTCCCCGAGCACAGTACACCACCCTGCGTACTCAAGCACAGTGCACTCAACAAGGGTAGACAGCACGATGCAATCCGTCACTCTGAGTACTCAGGACAGGTAACACAGGCTAGGACTATGTCTGTGACATGACAGACACTGGGACAAAACTTCTTCCACCATCCCTCCCTGGAATCCCTGTGACGGAGCAGACTGCAACCTGTGTCACGCTGAGCACAGGCAGCGCGTGACACCGAACTCAGGGCCAGCCTTGCTCAGCCCAGGCTCTGCCTCCCTGTGCTCTGCTCTGGTGACCAAGGGAGGTGCGTGACGGGGAACGCTGGCTACCACCACAGCCTCCACACCACAGCCTCCATACCACAGCCTCCACACAGTAGCCTCTGCCATAGCTTACGCAGAGCAGCCTCCAAGGACAGCCTCCTTCCACGGAAGGCTCAGGAAGTTATCCGCATCCCTGGGCTGCACAGGCAGTTGGGCAGTCCCTACAGGAAGCCTCGGAGAGCAGAGTTCTCCTGTGTGCTATGGCCCTGATGGGGTGTGTCCAGGTAATGAGCGAAGTGCGTGGTATCGGGCTCCCAATGGAGCAAAACCCAACCAACGGTGACGACTCCCCAGCCCAAGCCTGGCAAGGCACCGGCCTGCCTCTCCTGTTGGCCACAGGTCTGCGTCATCAGGACCAGCCAAGGACAACACAAAGAACAGAACAGCATGCAGGGCCCAGTGTCGCCTGGGCTGATTTGAGCCACATCCCAGCCACACCTTCCTGTGGCACAAGACAGCGACACCATCGCAACAGCCCTGATCCTCTGCTCTCTGGAGTCCCAAACCCACATCCCCGACCAACACCTCCGCTCTCTGCCCATGATGGCTCTCGTTCTAGGACGGATGGAGGCCATCAGACAGCCCAGCCCACCACAGGGAAGCGGCTAGGGGAGGCCTCTCCACCAGGTCCAGGTGGACAGCGCAGACACTATGAATGCCGTTTCTCCTGCTGTGGGGACACCGCGGGTGCCACGTCTGCCACAGAGATACTACAGGTTCCAGGTCTCTGGAGATGGAATCTCAGCAATACTCAGGACGAAGCAGCAGGGCAACGCCACCAAAGACACGGCCCAGGCTCCTGGCCCTGTGCTACCCAGACACGGCCCAGGCTCCCGGCCCTGTGCCTCCAGACACAGCCCAGGCTCCCGGCCCTGTGCCACCCAGACACGGCCCAGGCTCCCGGCCCTGTGCCTCCAGACACGGCCCAGGCTCCCGGCCCTGTGCCACCA